ACACACACACACACACACACACACACACACACACACACACACACACACACACAAAAACCACCTTTCAGTGCTATGGTCACAGTAAATTTGCCACAGACTCCCTTATGCTCTTGAATGAAGAGACAGGCTCTGTATCCAGGTCTGTGATGTGTGACCAATGAGACTGAACAGGAGGGACTCTGTCCCAGGTCCTTACGACCCTGGCCACAGCTACCACGCACTCTTAGAGGCTTCAGAACCTCCAGACATTGGAGTCCTGAGATCTTGACTTACGACTCAAAACCCAAATAGCTGAGGCTGCCACGCTGGGAGAAGCTCCAGCTAAACTTGTATAGAAAGAAGAGGCACAGGGGAGAGGAATGTCCAGCCAGCCCCAAATGCTCAGGCCCTGGTCACAGTAATGATCTCAGTTGAGGCCCAGGCCCTAGAGCCGGACTGTCCCACTGTGCAGGTGGTGACTCACACTAACAACCAATGGCGACTTAAGTCCAGCTCTAAGGATGGTTTCTGAAACAGCACTAAAGCACTGAAATGTCACCCTCTCAAAACCTCTTTAGCTCCTCAGATCCCCTCATAGCACAGTTTGAGGCCACCTGTTTCTACTGGGACCCTGACATATGAATGACAGTCACTAGGGCAAACATTCACATCCAAAACATTTCTTCTGATAAAGCTGCAGAAGAGAACTTCTCTCTGAGGGAGGATGTGACCTAAGGCCTTGCTTATCTTCAGAGGATGACATACGAATAGAAAGACATGTGCCACTTCCAGATAAAAGGTCCATGTCTCTCCCTCTGACACTGTGACAGGTGATGTAAGTTCCAGGAGTGATAGTTTTTGTCAACCTGATTCCCAAGTGCCTTCTTGCCTTGCTTCCTGAAGTACAATCCCTGTTTGTTTAATCCTTCCTTTGCTTCTACTTCTCTGAGAATGCAGGTTAGTGCAACTAACCAATGAACGTTCAGCTTTGAAATATTAGCTTGGACAAATTAACCAGATAGACATACGAGAAGCAGACAATGTACCCTTTATTCTAAAGTTAAAAAGAACCAACCACCTTGAATGCCTATATACATATCTACAACTGAATGTATTTGCTTACTATATCTATCAATAACATTCTCTTTAAAATGACTTTTACAAAATGAACCCTTTCCCAAAATGTCCAAAGTAGGCATCCCATCTCTTATCCCAAACTGTGGAGGCTAAATGTATTTGGAGATTTAAAACTTTTAGAAGAATGATATATTTATCTGCCATGCTTTATATAAAATCCTCAGAAGGTCTGGGTTACCACCCTAAACAAGGTATATTAATATTTTCTCCACAGAACATACAAATATTAACACAAGTAGGTTAAAATCAAGAACCTTGAGCTAGTTCAGGTAGACAAGACACCAAATGTACTCAGCAAGGTAGGACGCTATACCAAATGAATTGACAAAATCATTGTGTTCAGGGCTTTCTGAGTAACCTTTATTTCTCATGCTAGAGATTGAACCCAAGGCCTCGTACATGCTCAGCAAAGTCTACTCCCGGCCCCAGAGCTTTCCCTCTGTGTTTAGCTTATGTATGACTGTGGAAGAAAGTCATGCAGCCTTTTAAAAAGAAACTCATGAGCCTTGCACTAATCCTGAGGAATTAATGGCCATGTCTCAGTTTTGGCTGAAGACAACATGAGAGCAGGCTTTTGTGAACAGAGTCCCTTGCCTGTCTGCAGCAGCGAGAAGCAACTGTGGGGATGTCCACCATCAGCCTACACACCCCTGCCCACTTTTCCTACTCACAAGGTTGTGAGTGTGCATGCACATGGGATGTGGTGTGCATCTGATTTGTTATTTATTGGGGTAGGTGGAGGTGTGTACATCCATGCGTATAAGCCAGGGGTCGATGTCAAATGTGTTTCCTCCTTCTCTTCCTTTCCTCCCTGATGCAGACTTTGACACTAAATCTGAAGCTCTGCACAAAGAACTTCCAAGATCCACCTGTCTCCACCTGCCATAGCCCTTCTTTGTCCCCGCAGCATGGGGAGTCAAGATATAAGATACCAAGCCTGGCTTTTCAATGTGGATTTTTGGGTATGCAATTCAGATCTGCATCCTTTCCTATGGAAAGCATTTCATTCATTGAGATATCTCTGAAGTCCCTTCATTAAGTTTTGCAATGCTTAATCTCTGGTTAAGAAATGCTGTTGAAAAATATTGATCGTAATGTGGAGAAATTTTAAGTATGAATTTATTTGTATTATTTATGAGGCAGACAGTATGAGTTCACCTTTATAACCTACCTACACGGATGGCAGGTAACTAAAAAGTTATGCATGATTTAGGTGAGAGAGTGCACAAAGAAAGGGATTTTTATTTAGAAGACTGACTAAGGCCCTTCTGTCAGGGAAGCAGATCTGAAGTTTGCAAAACACAATGGGAATTCCTATAGCAGGCCTGAGCCCAGACCTGAAGTAACTCTTTCAGTACCCAAGGGGAGGTGTAGGAAGTAGGATTTGAGTGCTCCCACTGGGAGCCTCTCAAGATACATCCAGCTCTGACCTTCTCTCAGTGTCTGTCCCTGATCTGCGGCTCTAGGACAGGCGCCTACCAGCTGTCACTGAGAGAGCCAGAGGTGAAGGGCAGGTTGTCCCTGCCTTTCTAACCCTTTAAATTATAAATGTTAAAAACAGGAACAAAAATATTTAAAAATGGAGAATGGGAAGAAAAATAATTAGAAAACAATCAGTCTTTGGTCTCTCTGGACATTAAATAGAAATATCTGGAGCATAGAGAAACATTCACTTTTCATCTCTTGTATTCTATACTATATGGACTTTTAAAATAAACATGTATTAACTTCATGGCTTTAAAATCTCCAATTTTAAGTTATGTACATAACTAAGAATGGAGTCAGGTGATATACTGTGCTGTTTAAAATCACTCTTGAAAAGCACTGTCTGAAAAGGGGACAACTGTCCATGTTCTGCTGGCACATCCTAAACATTCCATTGTGTGCTGTTCTTCATTTGGTTGGTAGGTTGGTTGGTAGGTTGGTTGGTTGGTAGGTAGGTTGGTTGGTTGGTTGGTTGGTTGGTTGGTTGGTAGGTTGATTGGTTGGTTGGTAGGTTGATTGGTTGGCTGGTAGGTAGGTTGGTAGGATGGTTGGTAGGTTGGTAGGTAGATTGGTTGGTTACTTTGGTTTTCCATACTTCTTAAATCTAAGGAGATGTCCACACTCAGCAATAAACAGGTCCCACAGAACAAAATACACAGGAGTGTTAGCCTCTGTGGATTTGGATGTTGAACATGCATGGCTCATGCCTCAGTTCTTCAGCCATTGTTAAGTGCTGTGGGGAAGTGAGGTAGCCTGGTCTTTACAACGGCTCTGTGAATCAAGCTCACGCTCAGTTACAGAACTCACTGTGCTAAGCCACAGTGAGATTCACAGCAAGATTCTCTGCTGGTTTAGTGCACAGTAGGGTGTCTACAGATAACTAGATGGGCTACACTATTAGAAAGGTCCAAGAGGAGTTTTCACCATAAAGAAATGATAAATGTTTGAGAAGATAAATATGTTTAACTTGACTTTAACATTATATTAATCTGTATGTGTATCAAAACATCACTTGATATCCCATTAATATGCAAAAAGAATTTCCATCAACAACTATAACATTAAAGTATATTAATTAATTATAGTAACAAAATAGTATAGAGAATACAATAGTGATAAATAGCATTACTAGTGTCAGCAGGTGAGTGAGGGATAATTAGGGAATAAATGAGGAAGAAAGACTATACTCAGGAGTCTGTAATCACAGCAAACACTTTCAGTAGTTCTGCTGGATTCCACTGAAAAGGAAAGTTCTTGCCCATGCAGATTTAGAGACCTCCAAAGCCAGACATACACCCCATCCCTGAATAGCAGAATACTACCCAATAGAAGGACAGCGTAGAAATACGGAAGGCAGGAGTTCTCCAATCATATGCTCTGCATTTCCCAAGACAGCTCTAATTCCACAGAGTTGGTCTCTTTGTGTTATAAAACACTAAAGTAACTTGAAGAAATGCCATATCAGACCAAGCACAGTTTGTTTCACACAATGTGTCCACTGAGCAAAAAGGTCACTAAACAGCGAGAGAGCAACAGCTTCACTGAGCCTGGCTGCCCTGAGCCAGACACCCAGCAGCACATACTGCAACCCTTCAGCACTGCTAGAATCCAGGTTTTTTAACTTAATAAAATAAGAACACATAAAATGTAATTTAAATATACACAAAGAAGGGCATTTTGTCCAAGCCACATTATAATTTAATTCTTGCTTCTCTCCCAATCAGAGAACAAGACTCCTTAAAATTAGAATGCTAGGTCCATGGGTGTCTCATAATAACTCACAATGGAAAAGATATCAGTTGACTTATTAAATATAAAGTGAGAGCCATAGGCATTCAGAGTGTTGCTAATGAGACAGCCAACCTTTGGTGGGATCTTAACATGGCATCACTTTAATTTTCTACTGTCGCAAAATTGTTATAATAGAAAATCATGTTCTATTAAGGAGGAGGTAAAACTGTGGCCCGGCACTACCTCTGTCCTTCCCATGCCCGCAGCAGCCCATGCACTCTCTAGGAAAGATGTGCCTCACAGGACAGCCTAACAGAACATTCACAGCAGCCCCAGCCAGGAACTGAAGTTGATCCCAGACTCAAAGACCATGCCTCATCTCTCCTATAGGCTGTTCAACTTGACATTCCACTATACCAAATGGACCCCCATCATGGATATTTTTAAGACCCATGTTTGAGACTACTAATAACTTTGGGTGGAACGAGAGAAAAATAAGGCTATATCCACTGCTGACTCAATTATGCTGCGTTTCCTTTCCTCCATTTCCCTCATACTATGAACAGACAGATGACCTTAGCCAATCACTGACCTTATGGAGGGCAGGAGCCAATACTGGTACCAAAAATCCATTGTAAATGTAGCTGACGAGTTGAGTGCGGATCAAAGGGTGAGCCACCTGAGACAGAAGCAGATGACAGGGTTCACTCTCTATGGTGCCTCAAAACCAAACAGTTCTGTCTTCATCTTATATTAAAAAAGAAATGCTAAATTTGGGCTAAGCTTCACTTGTTAAATAATACTTCAGACCACACAATGATGTGATTTTTTAAAAATATCTATTACAGTATAAACAGCTAAAATTATACTTCCAACTATAGAAAAGATGTTAATTTTAAAATTGACTTGAAAAAGACAGACAATGAATAGACTGACTATGCATAAATATTTATAAGTTAAAAATGAATAAATTATAAAGTATAATTTTTGCCCCTTAACTCCTTCTAGGCTCTATATCTACCTGTGACTACCTTTTTAAAAGAGTGTAACTATAGAAAAGAATAATTAAACACACTTATTTTGCTAACAGAGAATTTTGAAGATGCATTTTTTGATATTTCTGATATTTAGGGAAGAAAGGTTCTGTAAAATATTTTCGTAAAAAGTGAACAGTTGTTCAAAAGCAGGAAACATTGCTGGTGTTACTTCCCAAAATTGATTTTCAAAATCTAAGTGACATGGACAAAACTTTAATAATGTATTTTATACTTTCAGGGGTTCCCTAACCCTAAAACATTATTTAAATAATGTTTGACCTTAATTTCAAATAAATATATAATTTTCCTGTTCTTCACCATGCCCAAAGAAGCAGCTTTAATGAAAGAGACAGAAAGAGAGAGAGAGAGAGAGAGAGAGAGAGAGAGAGAGGAGAAAGATTCAATCAAACATACAGTAAAAAGCAATTTCTAGGGAAGTAAGGCAAGCTGTTTAAATTACTGACAACCTCTCTCTGTACATCTGAAGAGGAGCTAATAGTAGTTTCATCATTTTTATTTCCATACATTTCTGCAGGAAATGTTGATTGAATATAATATTAAAGGAAAATAATTTAAAATGTAATCCATTTATCTTAAATACAAATAAGACTTCCTTTGACTTAGCAATAAAAATGAGATGGGAAGTGAAGTAATTCACTTTCACTTTCCTCCAGAAGCTGTTTCTTTATTTGGTAGATAAACAGATTATAAGTAACATTTTTCACCCTAAAAATCACCATAAAACAAACCTGATTTCTTAATAAATCCAATATAAAGGTAGTATTTATGTTACATAGAAATTTTTGATGAAAACTTAATACAGCCTTAAACATATATAAAATTGGATTTTTATTGAAAACAGTAACAAGAAATTTGAGGGTAAAAAAAAATCTAATCAAAAAGCTAGATACACAAGAGTTCAGTGGCTGCTTTTTCCCCTAAAGTGAGCCAATTTCAAAGCAAATTTGTGTACCTAAGAAGATTGTTAACTTCTTCCAAATTCAATTGGGATAACAATATTCTTTATGTAGTGTGCACCATTAAGCAAAATAAAGTGTTTTCCTTTGTAAGCTCCCAGGAAGACCTTGAAGTAAAATTGTTATAATTTGGAGTACTTAAGCAGCCTAAAAATATCTATTTAATGAGCCAGCCACTAAACTTATTTTTGATGGGTAAGTGGATAATCAAAACAGAATAACACTTTTTATAGAGAAATAAAATCTTTTCATTTGTTCTCAATTGGAACTTTTCAGAAGCCTATCATTTTCACTCATTTCAAGATACTCAATGGGAGTCAAGAAAAGCATCATTATTCCATAAGCACTTCTCAAAATTAGCAAAGAGTTAATTTTTAAGAAATTAGAATAGTGAAGCATGCTTATACACGCTAATCCCCCACAAGGCTTGAGCTCTGATCAGACTCCAGCCCAGGATAGCTTCTGGGCTTCAGTACCTGGATTACTGCGTTACAAAACTCCAGAGAGTTCATGAACTGCACAAGGGCAGGCAGCAGAAGCCAGTCATCCTTCAGAAGGCAGTGCCAGTCCTCACCCTTCTCTTCCAGCTTTGTGGGCAGTGAAGAGTACAGGCCACTGAGTCCCGTTGCAAGTACCTGATTCAGAAACGGAAAAAGCAAAGTCATCTCATCTGAAGCCCGTGGTCACAGGGATGCCTATGGTTTGGTCCAAAGACCAAACTTTGAACAGCAGGGGATTAATAATGTGAGAAGGTAGCAACTAGATAGGAAAGGTTAAACACATGGATGGACTGGGAAGGCTACCCCAGCAGACAGCAAGGCAAATCCAGAGCTTCTTAGCTATTAGTCAAGAGGTTGGTGAGGGTGATTCTTCTTTTATGCCAGGCACCAGGATGAGCTGGGAGTCCAGCAATTGAGAAGGCAAAACATATAGATGAATGAAATGTGACTCTCATACTCAAGAAGTTCAGGGAACGGACAAACTCATTAGAAACACAGTACATGAAAACTTGGTGAGTGCCAATAAAGAAGTATGCCAGTGTAAATACTAGCCCATGGGAGGCAGCCTGGGATGGAGGGGGTCCCATCTTACAAGTAGGGATGCTGAGTAGTTTCATGAGAAAGATTCCTTGCATGTTAAGGGTTCTGACTGACACTAGAAGTTTACGTGTTAGAAAACACTTTCATGTATATTTCCTTTAACCATCACAAACAATGTAACAGAAGAAAGAAGTGAGTGTGGACGAAGGTCACTGAGCTATGTGACAAAGGTTCGGGCAGAGGTGATATGCCATGCCAGTAGAGCGATGGTCTCACCAACACAGCTGGTTTTAAGCTAGAACCCGAGATTTACTTTTCACCTTTGTACCCTGCTCTTAAAACTCTAGTGACAATACTTGGACCAGACAAGTGAGGTGAAGAACTTCAAACATTCAGGGGGTGAATGGGAGGAGACTGGGAGGAAAGAAGGGACAGAAAACTGAGGTCAAGATGTAAAAGTAAGTTATATATAAAATATATAAATCATATATAATATACAATTATGTTTATATATTAATATGTTGTTTATGTTTATATTTTATATATTTATATATTTATATATTTATATTGTATACTTATATGTAATATAATATGATATATTGTATAATACCTTAGATATTACATATGTTATATAATATATTATATAGCATAATATAATATTTAATATTATATATATCTTTAAAATAATATTAATATTATATATATATATATATATCTTTAAAAGATAAGTGTGAAAAGAGGATCACACTTCATGCTGAACACTTACAGGACAGAAGCTTGCAGATGCAGTGAATTTCACAGGGCGTGGGGCTTCCCACTTGGGAAGGGATGCTAGTTATGCAGCATCTCAGACATCCTGACTTAGCAAATGTATAGACTAGCACAGACTACACAGAAGAAGCCATCTATAAGGCTGGAAAGATGGCACAGAGGTAAGGGTGCCTGGTACCTGACCACCTGAGCTTTATTCTTGGACCTACGTGATGAAGGGAGAAAACTCTTCAGCAAATTGTTCTCTGACTTCCGCACTACAACATGGTATTTGCATGCCCACACATATACACTTATAGGCATACACAAAATAAATAAAGACATATGTTATTAAAAATTGAAAGAAAAAGAAGTCAGCTCCAAAAGATACCATTCTAGCACAGACCCTGAATTTACTCAAATGGATGAAAACATTCAAGAAGGTATTCTGAGTCAGGCCTAGAAAAGAAATAGTGGCACACTTCACTCATCTCCCAGTCCATCAAAAGACAAACAAGGAATTATAATGGTGTCAGAAACTTCTAAAATGCATAATAGGAAATTTAGGATGCTGTTGATAAATCAAGTGCTTTACTCAGACTTCAAGGTAGGGAGCAAAATAGGGGACCTGGTTTCAGAAGTGCTGTCTAGGCTGCTGAAGAGGAAACAGAAAATGATGGTGGAAAGAAAACTATTGCAAACAGAGGAAAGCCTGGACAAGAGCTGAAAGGAGAAAGAAGAGACAGTGTCCTCCAAGACTGAGAAGCCCAGCACTGTCAGAGCAGAAAGGGCTGACCACATGAACAGAGAGGTAAATATGAGCCACATCCTTCAGGGTTCTATGGCCCTACACAAAACACTTCTGGGACACCTGGGTGGAGAGGACAGCTGTGTGGGTCTGACGCCTGGGAGAGTGCTCTAGGCTAGAGGTGGCCATCTAGAGCCAACCCTGTGGAGGCTACTGGAGCCTACAAATAAAAGAGGATGTGGAGAGGAAGGCAAAGAAAAGAAAGACAAGGAGCAATAATCCACAGAGCCTGGTGTAAGGAACACAAACACAGAAATGGGAGCCAGAAATGTTAAAGTCCAGGGGAATAAATTTCTGTAGACTACTGTTACCTCTCCTTTCTCCTTGTCCTCTCTCCCTTGGTGAGACAGTCACCTCTCTGGAATATACCAGTTTACTATCTGTCTTCTCCATCTCTCCTGATTAGACTTGGTCACCTCAATCTATACTGGAGATATGGGTGATTGATACAGTCATGTGTGTTGAGTCTCAAATGTGATCTTCCAAGACTAACGCAATGAACTCAATGATAAGACATGATAGGCCTTAGCACAAAGAGATGAGATGAAGAAGCCATTGGAGAAACTGATAAGAGCTGAGGTGGTACAGGAGCCCATGCTGTACAATAAAGGACAGTGAAACTGATGGACCATAGCAACACTAGAGACAAAGATAGATAGATAGATAGATAGATAGATAGATAGATAGATAGATAGATAGATAGATAGATAGATAATAGATAGATAGATAGATAGATAGAGCTATCGTATTAATTTACTCATTAAAAAAAAGCCTGACTACTTAATTTCAGGTCAGGTGCTAAGTATAGGAAACAAAACTGTAAGTAAGATTGATCCTTTATCTCTTTAAAAATCAGGGCATCTGTGGCCCCCAAGGAAAACATCTTCTATTTAAAGTATTTAATTCATTGTCAACATACCTATACAAATCACTTTAATACTAGTTTTGAATGTGACCCAAGTGAGTTGCCTATTATAAATCAGAAACCTCTGGCAAAAGCATACAGAGCCCAAAAGTCCCCTAGAAGAGAAGTCTAATCTTGATGCTACATTTTAAAAATCAATTACATTTACTAACTCATGCTAAATTAACCACAGAACAAAGACTTTAATTCTGTGTTCTCCTGGTTTCTTAACCACTTTGAGACTCTGAAGATGAATTCATAAAGACAAGCTTAATTTGTCTGACTAAAAAGCTGGGAATAACTATTCAGTATATCAATATAATTACAGCAACATTAATTTTCAAATTACATACATCAGTGACAGTAATTAAAAATAATACATACCTAATATTCACTTTTAAAGTGAGTATTCTAAAAGGGAAGGGCTAGGATGTGAACAGCAGGAAACTTGCCCAGACTGAAGACACACCCCATGCAGAACTGACAGCTGGGAGGGAGGATGTCCCACCATGTTCCTGTCACCATAAGATAAGGCTAGTCAATAGCCATTATCTTCCTCAGAGTGGCAAAAACAATTTGAGAAAAATATTCTGCAAAATAAAAAGCATTACATACTCTGAAGGGACAGGAGTGTGTGTGTGTTCACAGCTATTGACAACTGTATTCCCTTCCAAGGCTCTGAGTTCAGATTCATTCCACACATTTTTAGAACAGGGGCTATGGGCCATACATAGCAAGGTTTGTGCTTAAACAGAGAACAAGTCATGCCAGGAGAGAGGGAGAAGCCAGCCTCCAAGATAATGATCACAAGGAAGACCACCATTACCTACCCAAGATAATGATCACAAGGAAGACCACCATTACCTACCCAAGATAATGATCACAAGGAAGACCACCATAACCTACCCAAGATAATGATCACAAAAAAGACCACCATTACCTACCCAAGATAATGATCACAAGGAAGACCACTCTTACCCTCAAGAATACAGAGAATACCAAGGGAGCAGGACCAGGGATAAGGAGAAGCACACAGAGATGTGTAGGTGGGCTTTGTTTGTTTGTTTGGTTGGTTGGTTTGGTTTGGTTTGTTTTTAGGTTCAAGAACTAACATCAAAAGTGATTTACTTTTAAACTTCATTGTGTAACTTGAAAACTAAATTATAAAAGGCACATATATCTGCATTCAACAAGTAATTAAAAATAAAATGTACTCTTTTAGCCTTCTATTGATTCAGACCACAAAATTGTCAAACATCATGTTTATTCTCAATACATTAAATATTAACCAAGTACTTTTCACTATATTCTCCCAAAAGTATCCTCAAATGAAATTATCATGGGCTGGGGAGATGACTCAGCAGGTAAAGTTCTTGCTGCACAAGCAAGAGGACCAGAATCCCAATCCCCAGCACCACATAAAAGCCAAGGAGGTGTGGCTATAATTACAGTGCTCAGAACGTGGAGACAAGAAATCCCCAGAGCAAGCTAGGTATCTACAGCAGCCAAAATAGCACTATCTAGCTTCAACTGAAAGACTCTGCCTCAATGGATAATGTAGGTGATCAAGGAAGAAATCTGACATCAGCCTCAGGTGCGCACACACATACACACCCATAAATGCACATATATAGGCAACCAAATATATGTGTGTGCATATGTATATGTGTGTGTATGTGTGTATGTATGTATGTATATATGTATGCATTTGTAAATACCTCTAAACATGGAAACACATACACACACATGCATGCATGGGAAGAAAGGAAAAAAGGAAGAAAGGATGGATCACTATAAAGGGCCAAATGGATAACAACAATGAAAACCATTAACTTCTTGACAGTCTGGTGTGGGAAAGCTACAACAAGCAGCTTTAGTATCAGACGAAGGTGGTTTTGCATTGACTGGTAGTTACTAAACTCTATAAACTTAAATGAGCTGAGCTATTGTAAGGGTTAAAGAAAAGAACACAGGCAGGATTAGAGCAATGGTTTCCACACAGTAATGGAAGACAGACAAGCCATGCATACAGCACTGAGCAAGTCAAGGTCAATCCTTAAACATCCCATGGTACTCAGTTAATTTTAGCAGAAACAAAGATTTTTAGCAGATGGCTTTGGTTGGAAGCTAGAAGCAAAACACCTGGTAGAGAGCGTTTGATACAACTTGCCAAAATAAAAAGCCTCATAAATTTTGGATATGGGATAAATAACTTCCTACCTGTGGTTCTGTACCTAAAGGTCACCTGCTCTGATTTGCATGGCCTGATTTATGGATACTAGACTTTGCCAACATGAGACAAATGGTCTAAGTGTAACCATCAACATTTGGTTAAAAAAAAAAAAAAAACCCTAGAGACAGGATCATTTAATGCCCACCATTAGTTGGTACCAGATTGCTAGGGTAACTGTATTCTCATCCTCTCTTGAGAACTAAGAGATGAGAGAGCAGACCCAGCCAGTTCATTCTATCAAGTTTGAAGACACAGGTTTCCAAACAAAGTCCAGTTTGCTAAGAGAGTCATTACTCTTCCAACAGGCTGATGCTAACACACTTTGACAATCATACTAATTAGAGAAAGCTTTTTGTCAACTGTGGCCCTTAGCTGGTTGGTTAATAGCATATGCTTTTATCTGCAACATAAAGGGGACTTTTTATTTTAATTATGTTGTCAGAAGTAATTATGGAAAACTGAGTATAAATGAAATTATGGGCTCTATCCTAAGGGGTAATCTAACACCAGAAACTTGTCTTCTATTCTAGCAAATGAGGTCAGCTGGCAATGTTGTTTTTCCCTCAAATTTAAATGAACTGTACAATGTTTTAAAACACATTTTTGTAAAAGCAACAATTACTGAAATCAGCTTAAACACAGTTAATGGAAATTTAAACACTAAAACCACGCCCCATTCTTCTCCCAATGCACTTGAATTTTTAAGTTATGAATGATTACAGATAATCAGCAAATAACAGAATTGAAAACCACCAGCAATACTTATCAAATTTTATCATTTTGCTATAGTTTTTTCAGAGTGCTCTGCATGTTTTTAAAACCAGCTGGAGTGTATGGCTGAGTGGTAGAGTGTGTGTGAGGATCTGGGATCAGTCAATCCACATGTGTGAGGATCAGTCACTCTGCAGGGCCAACAGACAAATTTTACTCCACTCCCAATACCAACCTGTCACCATCCTCAGGACGGACTACAGTCTTGAAGCTAATACACAGTATCGCTGATGGTTTTCAAGAAGACAGTTACTTTTGTTAACCATTTAGCAAAAAATGTTACTAATGTGTTGAATATACAAGAGGATTTACATAGGCATTTGGAACAGCAGATTGATGCTCTTTATCCTTTTCAAATTATTGGAAGAAGGTTCAGAGTTTAAGAGGAAGGAGCCATCTCGAGTGTCATGCCAAATACCATTGGATTCGTGTTAGTTCTAAAATTTACAGTGGTAGTCATTATAATTAGGAACAAGTTTAAAGACACTTGAACAGTGTACTTGGCATAATTCTAACACCTCTCTAGATGTTTTAACTTTGCATAGTAAGCTTATGAATTTAAAGAATGCTGCTCTGCTGAGCATTGAGGTGACAGATACTGCTGATAAAATTACCCATGGCCTGAGGTTAGTTTTTCTATTTTGGTCAAGCTTCAAGAATGGCATATATAGCTTGATCATGCCCAGCCTTTTTGTCCAGGGAATACTTTTATTCCTGCCCATTGTGTTAAAGCTTGTCTTTAACAACATCAACATGTTGGCAGCCAAAATACATGGTTTGAAACTGAAAATGAACCCCCAGACAGAGTTATTAAATTAATAGACTGGCAAGGCAAGGACAGGTTCATTTCTGCACAGAGCCTTAACAACCTAAAGACAGAAATGCATTGCTTTTGAGAATGCATATTCCATGACAGGTAAGGAAGGCATTCTTGTTAGAATGACCTAAGGCAGGCTCAGTCTTGTTAATGAAATAAAAAAGGGGGAGAGGTGGAGAGTCTTTGAGGCCGGTTGACAAGAATCTGACATTGGCCGAGGACAAGAAAGTAGGCTTCAGGCAGGAATCTGACATTAGACTATAACAAAGAAGTAATTTCAGGCAGGAATCTAAATATTAGGCTAGAACAAAGAAGTAATTTCAGGCAGGAATCTAAATTTTAGGCTAAAACAAGGAAATAGGCTTCAAACATGAAAAGGACTTTGGGCTAGGACAGGGAAGTAGGCTCAGATATTTTGGTCATCCTGATAAGCCCTTAGAAACAGTGATCATGGGAGTGTTCATGGAATTTTGTTTATTGACTTGCTTGTTCTTTGACTATTTGTGTTTACTGTCTTGCTTGTTCCTTGACTATTTGCATCTATTGTATTGCTAGTCCCTCAACCTAGAACTGACCTTAATACTTGCATGTAATTAAAATGGTATGAAAGCAAAAAGGAGGGGGATGGAATAGGGGGTTTCTAGGGAGGGGAAATAGGGAAAGGGGGTGGAGTCTGAAATGTAAATAAATAAAATATCCAATAAAGAAAGAAAGCTCATTTCATTTAGTTGAGTAATATTTTCAATATCTGGGTGGATCATTTTTTATTCACATACTAAAGAACATCTTGGTTGCTTCTACAACTAAAAACTATGAAGAAAGAAGCTAGAAACACACATGCTCAGGTATTTGTATGGACAGAAGTTTTAATTCCTTTGTGTAATACCAAGGGAAGCAAATGATAGGCTATATGATAAAACCATGTTTCATAAGAAACTACTGAACTAGGAAGATGGCTCATTGGTTAAGAACACTGAATGCAATTCCAGAGGACCTAGGTTCAATTCCCAGAGTTCATAGAGTGATTCACAACCCTCTGTAACTTCAGTTCCAGAGGATCAAATGCTGTCTTTTGACCTGCATGAGCACTACATACATGCACAGACATACATGCAGGTAAAATATCCATACACATAAAAATGAATAATTAAACCACCTTTTTTTTTTTAAAAAAAAAAAAAGGAAACTATCAAACTATCTTCCAAAGTGGCTGCACCAATTTGCATCCCCACCAGTAATAATATATGAATTCCTATTTCCACAATCTTGCCTGCACTTGGTACTGTTAGTACACTCTGTGAACACTGACTGTGGGTGAACCCTTCTTCACTAACCTCATATCCCCATGCTAAGCAGACAGACAGACAGACAGACAGACACACACACACACACACACACACACTTCTAAATGTCCTCTAGGGAGTGTTCTTTTCCTGATCTATAGTCATCCATATGGTGTTAACTAACAGCAACACAAAAACCCTATTACCTACCCATAGTAACCTATCTTGCCTTTTCCAACAAAACTCACCAAGAATCTCCAAACTATCTCACATATTTAAGGCTACCGTATAAAAACTAGTAAAAAGAATAGATAATAGAAGTGCTCACCAAGCTTAGAAAGTATTGATAGCTATTGGCCAACCAGTATAACACTGAAATCACTCAGAGACCTATGAACCCCTGAAAATTCCATACTGCTCGCATCTTTTCCTGGCAAGACTGGGCATTGGCTTCTCTAACATATACCAATTTGTTTCCATACCATGGACTAAGAAACCATACAAAGTAGAGAACTTTGTGTCACTGCAAATATACAGTCATTTCTAAAATAAAATCAATGCTTTAGACCTACAACTAACAGTCATTATCTTGCTGAGAAACAAATTAATTTGGCAAACTAGCTGTGAGGGGTCTTACCTCATGCCTTGATCCAGTGGAGCAGAGTCAATGTGGAAGGCTATGAATTTTAAAAGTGCAAGTATAATCAACCTCTCTGCACAACCCAACAAAGATGAATTGAGAAACAGTAGAGAGTCTAGAGTGGTATTTTGGGCTGTCGCTGCTTAGCCAAATTGTAGCACTGAAACTTGGGTAGCTCTGCTGCCTCCAAGCACGTTCCTCTGAACACCTTGCCACCGAAGGTACAACTTGGGACAAATGGAACAAAAGCATACACTCTTGGTACATGAGAGGAGGGGATGGGATGGGGAGAAAGCACACCAAGGAGAGGGACTTACGGGACAGAAGTAGGTATTTTCCACAATGTGATTGGCCACCATGCTGTTCTCAGCAGAGAGAGACATGATAAATAGCAAAGCATCCCGTGCTTGCTGGCCTACTGTGCCCTCTCGATGAATGAAGGGTATCAGAAGAGAGAAGATGAGGAAGTTGGCGGCCCCTTGGTCCTCACTGGTGTGAAAGAAGAGTTCCAGGATGGATGGATCTTTGGCAAGGATGGAGCAGAGCTGGTTGAGCAGGACAACTAGCTTTCCCTCCACAGCTGGGGTGGCTGTGCCCGAACAGGAGCTCAGCAACATCATCAGGGGCTTCAGGATGGGCTTATGGTGCAGCAGAGGCTGGTAGGACTGGGTGACCAACATCTCATACATCTTTAGCTGCTCAAGTTTGGTTTCATCCGTGAATTCTCGTCTCAAGCTCCAAAGGAAGAGCTTTTCCATGATGTTCTCACAGACCACAAATTCCAGAATTGGCCCCATTGCAGCATCCTTGGCTTGTTCTTCGATTAGCAGGAAAAGCATGTGTTCTACATAGTTCTGCACAGCACTGGCCTCATCTGGGGGGATGGATCCATATTTTGCCTGGGTGTTCTTCAAGGGGTCATGCTTTTCTAAGATTTTCACAACCTGCAATATAGCAAACACCTGTCACCTATTGCTGCTTACCATAATAATTTCCAAAACACTTCACAAACAGCTTTATCAAACTGGCAAAAAAACACAGGAGCCACTGGATACAATATAATTATCGAATATGTCAAAATGTAAAGGATAAGAAAAGCAAAAAGAATGCAAAAGTAATAATTACTTTTATATTCAAAGAGATAAAAAGTTACTTTCCCCTTAAATTATCTTTAAAACAACATGGCCTTTAAGTTCTAAATCCATAAAACAAGTAAAAAGAAACCTGGCTTCTTCCCAAAATGCAGTTTTTCTGAAAACTTCAGCAGAGCAACCTAACTCTTTGCATGCTGTTCACAAGCACTATGCTTCACTTCTCCACTTGGAGGGATGCCCTCTTCTACCACACACATCACAGGAATCAGAGCAATACATGGGAAGTGAGAAACTGTAAGCTAGTACATGTAGAATTGATTAACAGAAGGCATAGACACAAAACCCAATGTCTGAAGACTCTGAACATCTCATTCTTCAAGCTAAATAAATAAGTAAACATCTCTCCAAGATAATCAATTACAAAATAAACTCCGGAAGTTTGAAGTGATATGAAAGTTTTGGACACAGTGATAAAAGTAGCTAATAAAACAAAATCGGATGCCACCTAACACATGGCTAAGGCAAACACATCTGCTCAGCATCTGTAAAGGTCAGGCCACATCCTTGGCCTAGTTCTCTTTCTTCCCACTGCTGGGATCTGAAGCTTCCAACCTCACTGTGTCCACTGATACGTACACTTGAGTACCTGAAAGTAAAGCTATTTTGTATCTTAATTTTCATTTACCTTAGTAACATAGAATATCCATGATGATCCCATTCAATTTATTCCCTTTAAAATACTCCACATGACACTTTAAAAACCATCTGGCATTTTATCAATGACTCTGTCTTTGTTTCTCTTTGCTTTTCTGAATAACATATAATGCAATGTTTGCCTTTGGCAGTTCCCTCCTGGCCCAGTTCTATGATGCGTTGTTACATGTTTTGTATTTAGGTAACAGGGTTTTTTGAGTTGTTGGAGGAAGCTGGCAAATACACAATGCTGTGTCAGCATGCATGAGCAATAAGGGAAATTATTTCTCAGGAAAAGGTCTCCATTTCTCTCCTGTCAGAAGCAAGGAAAAGGACATCTTTATGGACCAGGTAAGCATGCCCTGACATAATGAACACATTTCCACACCATCCATGATCTCTTTCATTTCCAACATAAATTTGATAACACTGTGTCACAAGGGAAAAAGTGACCCTAAAACTTTTGAGTTGACATTTTTCACGAGAAAGGGCATTTCTTCAGCAGTCACTCAAATGATACATGGCCCACTGACTACTGGCCACATGGCAGCCATTGGACATCTTTCTCACACCCTACCAGAGAGCACTTACTATCCTGTACCTCTCCAGGTGCTCCAGAATTCCCTGCAGGCCTACTAAGCTCACTTTGGCTCTGGGTTTTGAGGACATCTACAGGAAGGAATACAGTGACACACTGTGCCTAAAGAGGCTTTTCTTCAACACCACACATCCTCCAGTCCCCAAAGTCCCTAACTTGAAGGTTCTGCATTCTGAAGGACAGATCAGCTAGTGCTTTGTTGTTGCTGTGATTTCAAAGTCTGGGTGTTGAGTCTGTTTGTGGGAGTTGTATTTACAGCTAGGCCTCCAGGTAAAATGCAATTACACTTCTCACTCTGCTCACTGTGTAAACTGTCTAAAACTGGACTGCTTTATATATGGGTAGTGTTATATCAAACCACCTTGGTCTTTCTTAAAAAAAAAAAAACAATCTGGCAATGTGCAGTTACAGTGGTGAATTTGTTCTTGCCCTTTGACTTGTTAATCTGATTTGAGGGAAAATGTCTAAAATGTTTATGTCAGTGTTCTTTTCCAATAAGGAAAAATAAAAATACTGTTGACTCAGATGGTTAAGAATAAGAGAATTATAACCAAAATATATCACTATACAATATAACTACTGTTATGTAAGTGAATCATATCATCACACACAAATTATATATAAATATAAATGAAGAATTTGCTAAAGAGCAAAGATAGGGGCTGGAGAGGTGGCTCATCAGTTAAGAGCATTGGCTGCTCTCACAAAGGAACCAGATTCAGTTTCCTAAATCCACATAGCAACTCCCAGCCCTCTACCTCCAGTTCCAGCAGATCTAGCACCCTCTTCTGGCCTGTGCAGGTAGCAGGCACACACATGATGCGCATTCATACATGCAGGCAAACACTCCTGTGCACAACACTGATGATATGCATAAAATAAGTCACAAACATTTTGAGAAAAACAAACAAGGTTGGGAATAGCAGTGTATGCCTGTAATCTCAACACTTGGAAAGTGGATCACAAGTTCAAGGCCAGCATGGATTATATGTCTAACAAATCAGAAAGGGAGGGAAGGTAGAGAAGAAAACAAAGAAAAATGAGACTTTCAGATGAATTCGTTCTTTCCTGTAACTTGCTTCACAACTGTTCATAATATAAATCTAAAAGATCAAAGAGGTTATTTTGCATTAATGTATAAAAAGAGAAGAAAAATATTGAGATAAAGCAATTATTGAAAATCCAGTTCTCTGGAATGCCTATATAATATAAACTTATAAGGATCTATATTTATGTCACATATTTAAGCAAATATTTATTGTGTATCTAATATATGTATGTAATATAACAAAACAACTCATACAGCTCATACAACCATAAATCACTTTCTTCAGACTAATTAACCTACATGTATGTATATATGTATATATATTTTATATTATTCATATAATATATACATATATTATTGATATATGTTATATACATATATTATTGATACATATTATATATACATAATATTAATTTCAACTCAAGAACTCCACCACTGAGCTACAATTCCCAGTCCTACTAGGAAATATCTTTAAAAGAGAACTGAGCTGGGCATGGTACCCCATGTCTTTAATGCCTCAGAGAACAGAGAACTTTATACCTGAACATAAATTGTGTAGCCGCTTTTTTAAAAATTTATAGTTTTTAAATTGTGTGTGTATGTGTGTGTGTGTGTAAATGCACAAGCAGGTGCCTGTGGAGGTCAGAAGGTGTCAAATCCTCTTGAGCCAAAGTTACAGGCACTGTGAGCTGCTTGACATGAGTACTAGGAACTGAATTCTGGTCCTCTGAGAGATCAGTAGCTACCTGTAGGCCTTGTTTAGCAGTTTTTAAAATTAACTAAGTTAGCCTTCCTTAGGACAGCTACTTTCTAAGCCTTCTGGGTTAAGTGGACAGAGAAACCTGAGAGCAGAGTTTGAATGATCCACAGAAATGAAAGATTTGTGGTCCTGGAAGGAAGCAGACACCCTGAATCCCGTTCCTCACTCCCAACCCTGACCAGCAGTTTTACTGCCTGGGAGATGGGTGTGTGTGTGAGTCACAGAGCACCCACGTTTAGCAAGTGCTGGCTGCTTTTGTGCCCATGTTGTTACAGATCCTGAGCCTTGCTTCTCGGTAGGACCTTCCCAGGCTCCCTCTCCTTCCTGTCCCTGCCAGCAGACACACCTGTGACCTGCTTTTCAAGTGGGCTCTGAGGCCACACCTGGGACCGGCTCCTACCCTAGCAGGATCCTTCAAGCTTCCTGGGTAGAGCTCAATCTGCACCGAACTACCAAAGAGCTTCTTCTATCCACCTGGGGCCAGGTCTCCCAGCTGCTACAAACTGACTCCTGATGTGACCTGGACTTCCTTGTCTCCCTTTTGTTCTCTATCTTCCCATCACTGCCATCAAACCCTCTTATTCTTGTTCCTGCTTCCTCTGCCTGCTGCCAGTTTTACCCACTATGCTGACTCTAACCTAGACTGGTAGGTAGTGAAACTCAACACTGTGAGGCTGCATGCAGTGCCTCCTGCAGGCTTGTCCTTGCTGGGCCTAGCCGCTCTGTCATAATCAAGCAAGCCTCCTCTAAGATGCGTACCATCAGCTGTGGGGATTCTGGAAGAGTCGAAGTAGGAGAGAGAGTAAAACCCAACAAAATACACTTTGTAAACAGTTCCTTTCCATAACAAGTTTATTAAACTGAGAATAATATTTAATAAAGTAATCAGCATATGATAAAAGCCCACACTCATGAAGTAAACCAGTTCAGTTAAAAACAATAGATGTACTCATCACAGCTAAGCATCTTATTCATCTCCAGAGGGGGTGTGGGTGAGAGGGGGCAGGGAATGTGAGCCTGGATCATATTTAATTCCATGTATAAATTAACATAACTTAAAAGTAAACACAAAATGAACAGTGTGAACAATGGACTCCAAATTACCATCAGATCAAAACAGCTAAATTTAACCTAATTTCAAAGCCATTTGACCTTTATATGTGAGTGCTATTAAGGACACAATTTTTAAATAGCCTACTTCTTTCATAAGGAGCATCAGAAATTCCTACCCTTGGTCCCTACTATGGCCCCATCAGTCAGTGATAATGGGCTTGAATATTAAATACTGATGAATCCTAAATAAGAAACAAAAGAAAGGTCCACATTAATCATAACTTTCCCTCGAGCTATCAAATGACTATTCTTTGTGATAAACAGAAGTGCTTCTCTGCCAGGAGACCGGCTTCAGTCCAGTCTACTGTTGGCCCAGGCCTTCCGTAACAGGCGATTATGGCACCTCGACTGGGGCACACTTATTTCAAGAGAGTCACGTGAAAAGAACTCACAGTTCCAAACCCTTTGGAATGCTAATTTAAAGTGGCCTTTGTGGAAAATTTTAAGTTACTAAGCAACATTTTCCATTGCACAGAAGGGGAGGATTTAACTGTCATGGGCCAAATTACATATTATGTACCAAACAACTACAACAGAAGCTAAGCTTCCACTTTGTCCTTGCTCATTAGTTAATGGCTGAGTCTTTCCATTTGGGAGATTCCTTGAGTACCTGTCTCTACAGGGTCTTACGAGGGCTG